TTCCAAGAAGCCTTTTCAGCAGAACATAATGAAGTAGGATAGGGAAGACAAAAGAGTGGAGATAATCAGCTGGAGGAGGCCATGGCTCGGTCGGAGAGCACAGAGTACAAGAGTACAGCAGGGTTCATCTCCAAAGGGAAAGTCAGCAAGGCCTCAAGTTAGAGAAATTAATAGGAATATATCAAGGAAGTCGTTTGAGAACTGCTGAGAATGGTTTGGGACTCACTGGGGCAGATATGTTAGATCTTTTAAAAAATACATGTATTTATTGGTTACCTGCTGGTGAAACCCATCAGACTTGCAGATAAAAGGCTGGGAATTTGCAGCACAAAATTCAGCTGCATTAAGACATTTTCTTCTCTGGAAACAAGTTAATATAACCCCATCTGAGCCAGAATCTTTTGGTTTTTCTCATTCTGAAATTTCTTGTGGGGGAACTGGTTCAAGGCTAGGTTGAATGGGGCTTGGAATAACCTGGTCTCATGGAAGATGTCCCTGCCCATGGCAGGAGCTTGGAACTGGATGAGCTTTAAGGTTCCTCCCAATTCAAACCAGTCTGTGAGCGCATGATTCTATGATTTCTCATTTATTTAGGCTCAAGGGGGTGTTTGTGTAAGCTCTGCATAATTCAAATAGGCAAACACAATGTGCAGGTATTTTGCCATTCACATTCAGGTTCACCTGTGCAACAAGTGATCCCACCTTCCTAGTCCTTTTAAGGGAGGGCAGGGATTTCCTTTACAATATTTCAATATGCAGTCTGTAGTATTAAATTGAATTAATAAGTGAATTATCATTTTTTGATCCTCTGGCTTTTACGCAGATCGTAAACTTCAGCTAACAAAAGGTCGAGATTTTTCCTGTCTCAGCATTTATTTTTTTGGGCAGTCTGAGGTCAGCAAATTCCAAAGTCAAGAGCTGCTTTGTGCTGATAAATTATCCATTTCATTTTTCATACAATGAAGACAAAAGGGCTTGTTGCCGCTAGAGATGTCAGGCTTTTCTTGATTGGAAAAGCCTGATTATTTAGTTCTTCATTTCAGAGGAAACAGCAGGTGATGAGAATGTGGTTCCCTGGGGTTTTGTCTCCCAGGACACTCTCCTGTGTCTCCTCAGTGAAGATCTGAGTGCTCCTCTCCTGGTTTGGAGGTGGGTCTGACAGAAAATGCTGTAGAACTATAAATTTTTGGGAGCTAGGGGGGTTCACCTGGAGAGGAGAAGGCAACCTGGGATAGTGGGAAGTGTCCCTGCCTATGGCAGGGTTTGGAGCTGGATGCTCTTTAAGGTCTTTTCTATCCAAACCAGACTGGATTTCCATGTCTCAACTTGATGTGTTCACATTATATATATATAATACATTATATATGCATATATATTGTATACAACCCTGTTGCATTTCTATAACAGGTTCAATATTTTGTTTCACGTGTGAGATGCTCAATCAACTCTTAAGGTGTCACTAAAAAAAGAATAAATTAATGAAGAAGTTGCTCATTGTGGTAACGAATCTCCGAGCTCGTGCCCACTGTCCCAGACTTTTTTGGGGAAAGGTGGGATATACCCTTGTCACTTGCCTAAATTAACCTTTAGCAGATGAATAGGAAGGTAATTTAATTATTGTTTGGTGGATCCCAAGTGAGGGTCAAGCTTCAAACGACTTAAGGGAAAAATTGTCAGAAAATTAGCGGAATTTGCATGGAGTGTAAGGTCAGGAGGCCTTTTCATGTTCAAGGAGACTTTGGCTGAATATTATTAGCATGCAATTTGTATAAAATTCATTTAAAGAGGTGATGTGCAGGTCAAGGAAGAAAAGATCTCTTTTCTTTGTTCATACTCTCTCATGTTGGTTCTGTGCCACCTGATGTGAAATAAATTACTTTTGGCACATAGAGAAAATAGTACCCTCTCTCCAGAGTGTAAGGAGTGGGGCTCTCAAAAGGCATTGCATCCCAGTGCCACAAAAAACAAGGCAATGGGAGCCTAAAGGGAAAATCACCTTGACACAAGGAATGACTTGAAAGAAAATGGAAAAATGTCTGTTGTTCAGAACAGCTCCCTTTTCCATTGTTTAATCTTTTCTTTTCAATTCAGAGCTACTATTTAATTTTTGGAGAGCCTGAAAGACTCACCTGTCCGTGTCACTGTTTTAAAAACCCTGCAAAATATATTTATTTCTCTGTAAAGATTTCATTCCTTTATTCTGAAAAGATAATGACAGTAACTTCATTAACTTCTGGGATTTTCCATGCCTGCTTGATTCTTTTAGCTTTTATGTGATGATCTTGGAGATCTTTTCCAACCACAGTGATGGGGGTGGCAAAACCCCCTGTGGAGATGGGGAAATCTGGGCACAGTGTTCCAAAGGCACCAAGTAAACCAGTGATGGGGGGAAGCAGTGGGATGAGATGTTCTGGTGTCCTGTGTCTGTAGGAGTTTGGAGATGTGGTGATTCCGGATTCCCAGGAGTGGGGGACACACTCACAGAATCACAGAATCATTAAGGTCGGGAAATCCCTCCAAGGCTGGGAAAGCCCTCCAAGGCTGGGAAAGCCCCCCAAGGTTGGAAAAGCACTCCAAGGCTGGAAAAGCCCTCCAAGGCTGGGAAAGGCCCCCAAGGTTGGGAAAGCACTCCAAGGCTGGAAAATCCCTCCAAGTTCATGGAGTCCAGCCATTCCCCAGCTCTGCCCAGGCCACAGTGACCCATTCCCACCCTCCCTTGTGGCTCTGTTTGCCCTTCACGTGGAGAAGTTCCCTGGTGTGATGGGAGCCTGTCCTGCACTTTCACGGGAAGGATAAAGCAGATGAAAAGGTAACCAGGTTACAGGCACAAAGTATCCCGGGACTGTTTGCTAGCAGCTTATTCCCATGGCATTCCTGCTGGAGTTACTCCTTGCTGGAGTCTCTCGGAGCAACTGAGCATGGCTGTCTCAGGGATTAGGAAGCACTGGAAGCTCCTGCAATAGAGCAGCACTGGTGTTTGTCTGTTTATAATTAATTTTTAGTAGTCTTTTTGTTGGGCATTCATGGCCACAAGCGAACTCTGCAGGTTCTGGCGGTGCAGAAGGTTTAATTTTGCTAATCCTGTTTTATTCCTATTTCAGTGTAGCGGTTTCAATGCCACAACATGGTGCCTGCAATGAATTTCAAATGTATTTTCGGATGGCATTGTCTTGCAGAATGGGAGAGAAAATCATCCCTCCCAAATGCCGTTTGCAGGGGCTCTTTCCTGCTGTCTGGAAATCCCACCCTGCATACAAAGCAGGGAGGAAGCACAAACCTCTTCCTCACAAGCTCTCAAGCCCCCACCACGATTACAACCTTTTTATCTGGGATAAAAAGCATTTTCTTTCATCCTTCTCAATAAGAGTGTTTTGCTTTTACCATTTGGTACAACACCTAGTGCAAGCCACACGTACTCTGTCATTTTTTTCCCTGAACTATGATTTTTTTTATACTCTTCACACACACAAGAGTACAAATGAAATGCTGCTGGCATTGAAAAGGCCCTTTAGAAAAGCAGCCGTGATTCCAGCCCTGCCTGGGAGCAGGTCCAGCTGCCACTGGGTGGTTTTTGGGAAGGAACAATGGAAAGGTGAACAGTTACCCTCCTAAATTTTATTTCATAAAATCACAGAATGATTTGGGTTGGAAGGGACCTTAAAGCTCATCCAGTCCCATGGGCAGGGACAGCTTCCACTGGATCAGATGCTCCAAGCCCCATCCAGCCTGGCTTTGGGCAGTTTCAGGGATGGGGCAGGCACAGCTTCTCTGGGATCTTCTTAAAGATCTCCTTAATGCTCTTAAAGCTGTGTGTTAGTGAAGCCACTGGTGGAATTCTGAGTCTCCCTGTCTCTTCCCACTTGCTTATAACCCTGATTTCCTTTGCTTTGAGAATGACTCCTTCAGTGCTAACTTGGGGGTGGAGGGACAGCTAATTAATTAAGCACTAATTGTTGTCAAATCAATCGGTGCTAACATGTAACGTTTGACTTGTTTACTCTCCCGAGGTAAAGTGAAAGGAGTTAATGATGTAACAAATTGTGTCCCCCATCATGAGGGACTTGTTTGGAGAGAACGGTGTTATTTATGAACTGTAAAATAACACATTTTAACAAAACCCCCAGATTTTGAAGGAAGATGGGCTTGGTTCTGGTGTGAAATTACCACTAGATAGCTGTGGAGACAAATGCGTCGCCTAATAAAGCTTAATGACTGATTTTCCCATTAATCAGAACTGAGAATGTGCTTCATTAAGATAATTAACTGAGCCAGTTGCTTAACTGACAGTTAGGAGACACAAATTCCCAAGTTACTTGCTTTCCTCTTAATAAAACCCACAAGAAGCTGACCCGGCTTGGTGGCTTTTATCGGCGAGGGGAGCGCAAGGGCTGAGATCTCCTCGCTCACCTAAGCTCCGTGACAGAGTGTCCCTGTGGGACACGGCTGGGACCAGGGGGTGGCCCTGCCCAGCCCCACACGGGATGCAAGCCTTGGCCTCCAGCTTTTCCCAGTCAGCTCACGCTGAAAGCTCACCAAGGCTTGCCCTTCTCCATCTCGCCAGCGGCGAATGCTCTTTCATCTGCTGCTTTCAGAAAGGTCAGGTCTTTGGTTTTATCACCCAAGAACTGCTCCTTCTTCCGAGGGGGAGAATTCCTTGCCTGACTTTGTGGCCCCTCCTCTGCGTGTTCATTGCAAGCTGGAACTGGGGTCATAGTCCTGAACCTCCCTGGAGCAGGGATGTGGAAGATGAATCTGCTCCGGGTGCATTTGTAGGCAGAATATGCAGCGCTGGAGAAGTTGTGGGAATTAACGGAGAGATCCAAAACTTGAATTATTAAATATGCTATCTGGTTGTAACGTCTGGTTGTAAATCCCTTCCTTCACAGCTGTCTGTGTCTGGAATTCTAACAGGGTGATGCTATCAGGACTCTGCACACAGACAGAGACTCGGGAGCCAACGTAAGGCAACCATCTCAACTCTGCTTTTCTTTTGTCCTCAGAGTTCCCGGTCTTCCACCATGAATCCTGTTTACAGCCCCGTCCAACCTGGGGCTCCCTACGGAAACCCGAAGAACATGGCCTATACAGGTAGGACAGGGGATGTGGCTTTTCCTGGATGTCTGTGTGTGGTGGTGCCTGATCCCTTAATGAGGGAGAAAGATTTCCCATCAGGGAGCTGGATGGGAACGCGACTCGCTGGAAAAGCCCTTCAGCAAAGCCAGTGCAGTGAGGGTGGTCAGAAGAGTTGGAGCTGAATTCATGCAAAGAGGATGCGCTGGAAATCCTAAGGAAAAGGATCCAAAGGTTTTTTTCTTTAGATTAAAAACATGCCAGCAGGTGCTGGGACAGTCAGCAGGAGGGTTTCCCTCAGGAGCTGCCCTGAACCACTGGGGTGCACGTGCTGGGATAATCCAGCTGTGGAAATGAGGATCTCACATCCAAGAGCCCCTTGTTTGGAGAACATCCAGGTATTGTGATAGGTGGTGACTTATGCTACAGTACTGACTGATTTTTTTTTTTATTTCAAGTTGTGCTTTGGTTGAGTTAACCTATGTGGAACAGTAAGTCTATTGTCTGTTTGAAACCTTCTTTAGAACTGAGTTGTCTAAAAATGTCATCCTTAACACTTGATAAAGATGTTTACCATAATTATGTAACTAGTGGGGAACTAAAGTGTACTGATATGGAAAGAATTCATATGGGACAGAAACAGTGCTTTGGAAAAAGAAAATCCCACTTCAGGTGTATCTGGTTTTCCCTGTGGATTATGTTCACCTTGGCTTGCTTTGATCTTGTAACCCCCTTACAAAATCTGCCCTGTAAAACTCCTTTTTATACCATTTTGGGGAATGTAATCAGCTCTTGGCTGTCATGTTGTGGCTTCCTGCTATCTGCATTGACTTTCACCTCATGTGTGGAATTATTTGGGAATGTGCTTTTGTGGAGGAGAGTGGTCACCAGCAGATGGGAATGATCATCAAATGCTCTGAGTGCTTTGTGCATGGAACATTCTGGTTGAGTTTGGCAGCCCTTCCAGCTGGTGGATCAGTGGGGCTGTGAGGAGCCCTGTCTGCGACTCTGCAGAGCACAGAGTTCCTCAAAGGCGTTTTGCCCCATTTTTATTCATCCTTTCTTTTTCCCATTCCAATTTATGCAGCTGCTTTGTTGGAGATACTGTAGCTTGGGGGAACTTTGGTCTCACAGTCAAAGCACGAGAGGCTTGAGAAAAGAAACAATCTCTGTGCAAAAGTCTCTTCAAAAAATCTCCCCATTGTGAGAGGACTGTGGACTCCAGCAGCACTTGGGTGATAGAACGAGCTCATAAGTGCACAGTTATTTTCCTGCTCTGGAAATAACAGGAATTTTGTGGCTTTCCAGCACAAGAGGCTACTTCTCTCCCACTTTACTTTGATTTTTTTTTTTGGCATGTGCTTAAAGCTCCACCTTAATATCTATTCAATGTACATTTCTGTATCTGCTTTCATACAGTTCTGGGTGTCTTAGCAGCTGCATTATGGCACTTGATAAGACAATTTAAATTAAATATTGAGGTGCAGATTGGCCAGAATTTGGACCTTGACCTTTCTGGAATAATTTTAGAGGGAGAATTGTGCTTTAGATGAAGGGATTAATGGAATTCCAGAATGGTTAAGGTGGGAAGGGACCTTAAAGCTCATCTGATTCCACCTTCCAAAGACCAGGTTGCTCCCAAGCCCTGTCCAGCCTGGGCTTGGACACATGAATTCTTCAGGACTCCATTTGGAATTAGTCAAGTGCCAACATGAATGGGATGTTGTCTTCTAAAGTAACCTGCTGGTTGATCACTGTGAGGTTCCTACTGTGCTCTTAACTCTGTAAAATTTGACTTGACCAACTTGTGCCAGCTCTGATCCATGCAGGGATCAGGAGGATGTGCCCCCATGGTTTCATTCCAAACCATCCTTCAGGCATTTCAGAATTTGTGGTAAATGCACAGAAGTCAGTGGTGGTTGTGCAGGATAATGCTGGAGGAAAAAGTTGGAGGCAGATCAAGCTGGAAAAATTAAAACAAGGTCCTAGGTTATGTCAATGGTAAAACAAAGAAACAAATGTAGGACAGCACAGCAGGAATATTCCTGCTGGATGGTTCCATTGCCCAGGTGGAAGGTAAGGAGTCAGTGGGCTGAACTCCTACAGTGAAGTCCCAAAATAAAAGTAAAAAAGCCCTTAACTGAAGAGCTTTGGGTTTGGTTGTTTTTTTTTTTTTTCTGGGCAAATAGTATTACAAACCCTTTTAAATCTGAATTTGTTTGAATATGTAATGAAAGACTCAAAGTTCTATATTGAATGAGGAGGAGAAAATTTAAATTTTATCCTCTGCAGGGAAAAGACAGGCTACTCCTGAGGGTGGTCTGAGCAGCTATGAAAAGAGCTGTGGAACAAAACTCAGGTGGGGTAGAGGCAGGAGGAAAGCAGGGATAGTGATCAGGATACTGGCAGGTTGAATTCTGTGCTTTTGTGGGGTTTTTTTGGTGCTAAATGTGAATGCTTTATACTACTTAATATTTTGTTTACTGTTTTTATTTATATGATAGCTTTAGGCTGAAATAATAAGTTTTAATCTGAGTTTTAATGATTTTCTTCTCATTCTGACTTCTGTGTTGTTTCCTGGCAGAGCAGGGAGAGAGGTCCATTACAAGATAAATAATCCAATTTTTTCTGCCAGATTGGCTGTTAGGGAAAATAGGAAATCCTTGAGTTAGGGAGAATGGGAAATCCTTGGCACATGCTCAAGTACTTGATGAAGCATCCGTTTATTCAGATTCTTGATTTTTCCATTTTGATCTTCCTTAATGGAAGTGCGAAGGACAGTTATTTCCTAAATCATTTTTTAAGTGTGGGCTGGATTGGCTGGATTTTTATGGGAAATAATAATTACGTTTCAAAAAGGAAGTTTTAAAATACAGTTACTCAGTGAGATAAAATCAGAATTGTTCAACTCATAGGAGAAATCTTTATGAAAACAATCCATGTGTTTGAATGAAGGGATTTATTAAGCACTTGTGGCTTCTCCTGTGTCTCATTTTTGGGGTCCTTAGAACTCCCAGACCTGTTGAATTGCACCCTCTTTTCCCGTTTTTCTTTGGAAACTGAAAGAGGAGGAGAACAACTCCTGCTGGCAGTGTTTCCTGCTGCTGGGTGAGCAGCTGTGGAGCTGAGGGAAGGTGACACAGGGAGAATATTCTGGCTGCAGACAGAGCCACATCTGCCCAGTGCTGGCTTTGTGCTCCAAGTCCTGGCTCCTCGTGCCCGGCTGGTGACGGCTTCCACTCCGCTAATTCCACGGATTTTGGAACATCAGCAGCAGCGTTTCAGCCTTGTTTACTATTTAATTAAACCAGACTGTAATTAAGTTGGATCTTCATGTAAGCTGTTGTTTTAATTGAGGCTAATTTATTTAAGGCCTCCAATTTGCTTTTTTGGTCTTGGTAGAATTCACTTTACCTGCTCCAAACGGGGGCTGCCGATGCACCTGGTTTTCCTTTGGCACATTACCCTTCCCATTTCCTTGCAGCCACTGCAGGAAGGCACCAGTGCTGCAGTAAATAGATTAGCCCATTGGTGTGGAATCAGGGATGAAGAATCAGTCTCTCCTGGAGCTTGTTTGACTTCAAGCGTGAAACTATAAAGTGTTTGTGATAGCTCACAGCGTCTCCCCTCTCCCTACCAGGAGCTGATTAATATGCTGATAAGATGCTGTGATTCATGAACCTCTGCTAGGCTGGCTCTGTGTTCGGTGCAGTTATTCCTAAATAATAAATGGTAATAAAATCCTACAGCCCAAGGATGCTGAGCTGGCTGGGGAGTCTCCAGGGGTTTGTGTCACGGCGCTCCAGAGCACGGCGTTTCTCAGGTCCTGCTGTGGGAGGGATGCTCACAGAATCCTGGGATGGGTTCTGCAAGGGACCTGGAAGAGCATCTCATTCCAGTCCCCAGCCTTGGGCAGGGACACCTCCCACTGTCCCAGGCTGCTCCAAGCCCCAGTGTCCAACCTGGCCATGGACACTTCCAGGGATCCAGGGGCAGCCACAGCTGCTCTGGGCACCCTGTGCCCATCTCCTTCCCAATATCCCATCCATCCCTGCCCTCTGGGAAGCCATTTTCCCATGTCTTGTCCCTCCATGCCTTGTCCCCAGTCCCTGTGCAGCTCTCCTGGAGCCCCTTCAGGCCCTGCAGGGGCTCTGAGCTCTCCCTGGAGCTTCTCCTCTCCAGGTGAGCCCCCCAGCTCTGCCAGCCTGGCTCCAGAGCAGAGGGGCTTTCCCTGCATAGGATCCCTTCATGCTCCTGAAGAGCAAGACACATCCCTGAGCTGGGCTGTTTGCATCACTCCCAAGTTGAAAATCTCCAAGTTTTGTCATTTTTTTCTTTCCCAAGGTGAAACCACACCATTTGTTTGGACATAATGGTGACAGAGGGAATCTGTGCCCTCCGGCCGTTGGTTCTGTTGGCAGGACAGGAGGTGAAGGATTCTCACGTGTGTTCCTGTCCTAATCCCTGTCATTTGTGTTCATTGTTGAACCTCAGACACAACTGCACATGTGAGGAGTGACCTCGACTGTTCCTTTAATTTATTGTGATGTAGAAAGTCGGTGGCCTTCAATGTTGTAGAAGATGGAAGGATGTTCCGACAGGATTTGTGCTGTTGGTTTTTAATCCTCCTTTGCATACTCTCTGTGGGACAAAGATAATTCCAGGCATGATTTCAGCCTTTCTCATTAACTTACAATTCTAATTTGGCTGTATGCTTCTCTGGAAATGCTGGGCCTTTGATGGCAGATCAGCTCTTAGGCCACAGGAACCATGTTCTTTCACAACTGCTCTGTGAAAGGGGATGAACCTTACATTTTTTCTCCTTCTTTTTGACATTCCTCAGCATTTTCAGGGGTAGCACTGAGGAACACAGGGCAAATGGCAGGGTTGAGGTGCTCTCTCCTTACTTCTCCTTCTGCTCCAAGATGTGCATGCATGTCAGCCTCTTCCATTGATTGGGAAGTGCCTCTCCTGGATTTAATTAGGCGATCCATTGCTTACCGGGTCTGTAAAACAGG